AGCCTTACCACCGCTAGATTCTTTCTCCTCCATCGTTTTCTTCTTCTCAAATGTCATCTTGCTGAAATCTCTCACGACTCCCATCGCCGGAACCCTAACATTTGACGCCGCGAGAGGAACCCTAGGATTCAAAAGATGGCTGTGAGTCACAGTAGTTTTCATTAGCTTGGCTCCATATCGACTCATCATCATTGTGCAGATCGAAAATGAACAATGGAAATTGATTAATCAAAGCGGTTTTGTTTTGTTTTTTGTTTTTTTTTTTTTTGCATTTTGTAACTCCTCAACTGCTATCTATTTATAGCAATTACGGAACTCTAGCATCATCAATGTATACAAGAAAACGGAAAATTCGTCTACAATTTGACTAAAAGACTTGTAGCACACGAAACAAAGACAAACCAATCCGCAAGTTTATGCGCAAAAACTGTGGACATTTTTATAAGTAAAAGCTTGTAATAATATATATATTTTTTAAAAGAATTGACTGGTGCTATTCGTCAGCCATTTTAATTTATGTTTTGATTAATGTATCTACCGAGAACTGTTGCTGCGAACTGTTGAAATCATTGGACAAACCGTCTCGGTTTGAATATAGATGAATCTCGTTGTATCTATGAAACTGATCATCACTAAAATATACACAAAAATAATGCTTCGTTGGCAATAGAAATGATTTTCCTCCAATTTGACAATTTTGAATCCATCTTGCATGTAGACGTCGAAGTAGAAGCATATCCTCGGGTTTTTGAATCCGCTTGCGATGATCAAAACCTCTCCACAGAGTTACAACAAGATGATTGTCATTGTCTTTTGTAATCTAGCCCAGAGGAGGATCTCAAAGGGAAAAGCTGGAAAGGCTGAAGACAGTGAAGAACGGAACAAGATACGGTCAAAAGTCAAGCTTGCTGCTTCGCTTAGTGCCTCGATGTATGGCTAATCAGTGGCTTAGGTGTGGTCCAAGTCCAACCTACTCATCAAAGAAACCATCCCGTCTTGGTTCCTAGTAGTTGACAATATTTATTTTCGATTAAAAGACAAATCAAATCCAAACCAAAGCTATACAACACGAAGAAGAGTTGAATCATAAACTACCAACAAAAACCATTCATTAAATTATTCAAACAAAGGGAAAAGAAAAAAAAAGAGAGGACTAGTTTCTTATTTTTAAGTTTCTTTTCTTTTTTTTGCCTCTCTATCTATCTTACAAGATTTGAACCAAACTTGGAACATAACTGAAAATAAATGGCAACCAACATGGTTTGTCTTCTGCAGCTATCCACCACGGCTCGTTTGTAGATTCTACATAAGGGATTTCTGAGTAATATTCACTGTCCTCTCCAATAGTGTATACCAAGTTCCTGCCGGTCTTCAAAGATAAATTACAACACAAGGCAACTTTCTTCTCCTCGTCGATTAAAAGACTCGCGAAAACCTCAGGAAAACTAAGCCCAATGGGTAAATCCACTGTAAAGGATTTGCTCCACAACAAAGCCGCTTCACTATCAACTTTATTGGTAACAAATATCTCCATCTTTGATCTCTCAATCGGTTGTAACATTGATAGTCGTTCTTCTCCAACAACTGATAGAGCCATAAAACCATGATCCCGAAATGGCGGAAGACAAAAATGTTTAATCCTCTCAGTTGTAAAATCAAAACTAAGTAATAAGTTGTTTACAAAAGAACCAAACCAGTAAGTGTTTCCCTTTAAAGACACGCAATTTACCGGTAGGATGCGGTCATGAGCGAGGTCATCAAGAACTTTCCATGAATCAGAGTTAAAGTCATAGATTTCAAACCTTAAACCTCGGCCGTTTAGTTTGTAATCGTAAATACGGTCCCAACATCCCAAGATTTTGTAGCTACGGCAAGATTTGTTGTTTTCATACCCTAGAGAAAACCTAAAGTATCTCTCGTAACCAGTTTTGTGTTGGATCCACCTGGTTTCCCCCAAACACGGATTCCAAACCACAAGTCTATCGTCTCCGGTGGTGCATAACAACAAACCATCACAGTGAGAAACTTTGGTTATATTGACTTGTTCTGTATTAGAATGAGAATCCTTCAGGCCAAGTGCACCTTTAAACTCTAAAGATGGAGGAGCAACGTTGAGATTGACGCTCACTGGAAAAACCCTATACTCTTTCAACATGAGAACCATAGACTCCTTCGGAGCTTTACGAAAGTGCTTCTCAGTGAATTTTCGGTTGTTGAATAAAATGTTCCATAGTTTACAAGTAGATCGTAATCGTTTCATAGATGTGGCCGGAACCCTAGAGAGTATTTCTTCTACCAAATCCCGGGGAAGATCGGACATCATCATAAATTAAACTACTCGGACCTCTGGAAGGCTTACCAAATTAGGGCTTTGTTTTGTACTTTTGTTTGCGAACCAAATCTTTTCTTATATAGAAAAACAAGAAACTATTCCACCTCCGAAGTACTCTTTTTCCTTTTCCTAGGTGGATTTTAATTACTAGTTTTACTTAATTTCTTCCAAACTATGGATATGAAATTATAATATTACTCTTACAAAAAGAATTTTCTTGTAATATTCGTAGACAATTTCAATTTTAGTTAAAGGACTTAAGGTTTTGATTGATTAGATTAAATTAATTTGTCCAAGAAATTCCCCTGTTCCAAAACAGAGTCGTGTTTAAAATTCCTCTACTATCTTTTCAACTGCACGACGTTGATTTACGTGTCTTATAGTTTCTTTCTTTGATGTCATAACCCAAGTCTCACTATGCAACAAGATTCTGTAACTAAAATAAAGGAGACGAAGCTAAAACTAAGACAAAAACTAATTGTTCTGATCATTCAAGATCTATCACAAACCAAAGTGAGAGTCACTTGTCTTGGTTCTAGTAACATTTCAGACTTTGAATTTGTTTTCTTTTAAACCTCAAAACTTAATCTGATAAAATTTGAGAGTTTAAATCCAAACACAAAATATATAAATAAATAAAAACCTATCTAAATGTAAGAGAAATAACTATACCAAAACACAAAACTTGATAGCTTTAAAGCAACCGTTTGCCACCAAAAGTTGGGAAAAACCAACGAGCATCCTTGAAAAGCATTAGCGGTAAATCTTCAAAATGTCGAAACCGTTTGACAACCTTCTCGGTTTGAATATCGTAGACGCAGTTACTGGTTTCACCGCATAGACGAATCTCATTGTATCTACGAACCTGATCATTACTAAAATATACGCGATTTCTTTTAAGCCCATCTTTAGCTTTAACCGTCCTTGATCCAAAAACAATGCTTCATTCCCAATACAATTGTTTTTTCTCCACTTTAATGAATTTGGATTTATCTTGTAGACTTGTAGGTCTTTTATTCCGCTTGCTATCATCAAAACCTCTCCAGACAAAACTAGATAGCTTTAGAGCAACGATTTGCCACAAAAAGTTGGGAAAAACCAACGAGAATCCTTGAAAGGCACTGGCGATAAATCTACAAGGTGTTGAAACCGTTGGACAACCAACCTCTTAAGAAAATCGTAAACGTAATTACTGTTTTCATTGCATAAACTACTCCCATTGTATCTACTAGGCTTACGATTACTAAAATATAAGCTGTTTTCCCCAAAACCATCTTTGGCTGCGACCGTTGTTCCTAGATCCAAAAGCAATGCTTCGTTCCCTAAAGAATATATTTCTCTCCATTTTGATGATTTTGGATCCATCTTGTAAATATCAAAGGAAGGTATCGCAAATGCGCGGGGTTTGATCATCAAAACCTCTCCGGACAAAGTTATAACAAGATGGCCGAAACCATATAGTGGAAATAATGTGAGACCATCCGGAGTTGTGAAACTTGCACATTCATTTGGAGAACCACCACAAGAGAAATCAAAAATAGTAATGTTTAGACTTGGACTAAGCACGTAAAGCTTGCTTTCTCTAAACACCATATCGGAGCAGCCTTGATTCTTCTTTAATTGAAACACTTTCCAGCTCTTGTTATTATCTCCTTTCTTATGATATGCAAAGAAGCACTCAATGCTCCACACAACTACGTAATCTCGGCTTCTTTCATCGACCCACAAAACCGCATTCTCTATTATAACTTTGGTGCTTTTACCAGAAGAATAAATTCCATAGCCTCCATGATAAGTGAATGTCTTCAAGAAATCAGACTCACCAACCCTCTCAAACTTCATCTGCCGTCCATCCATTGCTTCCAAAGTCGGAAGACGAATCCTCTCTCGAGTAAATAGATTCAAAAGATAAAAATCGGTTCTATGATCTAACATCAAGAACCAGCTACCAGAAGTAGCCAAACAACGACTCCTATGGAAATCAAACCCTAGGTCTCTTATTACGTAGGTTTTGTCATGAAGAAGATCAAACAACTTACACGAAATATGGCTATAGTTTGAAAAGAGAATGAGCCATGGAGTTGGATTTTGTCTGTAGCATAATTCGGCTGTGGAATACCAATCTGAAGAGATGGACCTGGCTCGATGAAACTCTACAAAGTTCAAGCGTTCTAAGATCGATCGAATCAGGTCGGGGGCAAGCACCGGCGACCACTCTGTATCGTTGTCGGAACTAATCAACTTCTTCTTCGGCTCCATTGCCATAGTTAACTTTAGGGTTTACGCTTGTAAGTTTATGTGTCACGGAATAAACTCTTAAGTTTGGGGAAATTGTTTGTTCTTCACGGATGAGAAAAAAAGAGACTATTTCAATTGTATTATTGTTCATTGGTATTTCCAAAAATATGTATTTCTGTTTTTGTGGAACCTCATGCAAAATAGAAATAATACATATATCAAGACATGACATTCAATCAAATATAAACAAACAAATTATGCAAAGAAGAAGATAATCAATCAACTCATATATGAAAATAATAATGATAACATAACTTCAAAAAGTATGTGTTTGTTTTACATAGCTACAGATTTTTATATATATAACTTGACTCCTTCGTATCCGCCGTAGTAACTAATCTACTCGAGTCACCGAATCCTCCTCCTAGGGTCAAACCAATTACTGCCGGTTCGGGTCCAAAAACACTTCTCAGTACGATCTTTTCCCATCGTTTGAGCCAAACCCACCAAAGCTGCTCCTTCCACCTGACTGAGATGAACGATCCGAACCAAAGTCACCAAAACCAGAGGAATGGTTGCTTGATGATCCGCCTGAGCGGCCATAATCACCTGAACGACCACCACCAAAGCTGCTCCTTCCACCTGACTGGGAAGAACGATCTGAACCATATCCTTCAGGAGAACGCATACCGAAGCTCCCGAAACCAGAACGGTCAGAATCACCAGAATAACGGTTGCTTGATCCGCCTGAACGGCCACCACCATAGCCACCACTGCTGCCACCATAGCCACCGCCTGAACGACCACCAAAGCTTGAACCGCGATCCCTCATGCCTCCTCCAAAGGACCCCCCGGATCGAGAACCTATTCCTTCAAACATGCTTGCGCTTCCACGTTCCACAGCAATGCTAGGGAGCTGAATTCAAAACACAATGGATACAAAGATTTACTCCATGCATTCAGGAAAAGAAACAAATAGGTAAAAAGAAAGTCAGATTATCTATAACCTCGGTGAATCTGCTCCCAACTTCTCTCTCAATTATTTTTACAGCCCTGGATTGATCTTGACTGTAGATGAGAATAGCACTTCCTTTCTTTCCAGCACGACCCGTTCGCCCGGTTCGATGAACAAATGTCTCCGTGTTATTAGGAAGCTCATAGTGAATGATCTAATTACAATCACAACAAGGATAGATAGGTCTAGTTAGATGAGAAACAATCCTTGTTTAGAGTATGAAAAGTGTAGTTTTGACTCACCAAATCGACATTAGGCACATCAAGTCCACGGGCAGCAACATCAGTTGCAACAAGAATATTGAAATGCCCATCTCGGAAACCAGCAAGCGTTCTTTCCCTCTGACTCTGGGATATATCACCGTGTAAAGCTTCACATTTGAAGCTTCTCGCCAATGCATATGAAAGGCGATCAGCATCTCGTTTTGTTTGTGTAAAAACAATGCATTTTCCTCCTTTAGCATGCTCCTGCAAAAGAAATGTCATGATAAACCCTTGCCATACACAAATAAATTACTCTGGGAGTGGAAAATACAAAATTCATATCTTATCGATTTAAAAGCAAAGCAAAGAAAGTATACCGTTACAAGAGGACCAATAATGGATGCTCTTCCATAAGAATCTGCTATGATAGAATACGTTGTAATTCCATCTGCGAGTTTCTGATCAGAATCTCCAACCTAAATAACACAGTACAGTTAGGCAAAAGATAACATAGAAGTAGATAATTCATTAAAGAAAGTCACCTCTTCAACAACTCTGCTAAATCCAAGATCAATCTTTATGAATTGTGAGCAGTTTTAGATATAAACACAAGCAGGTACGAGACTACTCACAAGATCAATTGTCAAAGGATTATTCAGGTACTTCTTGGTGAGAGATCTGATCCAACTAGGCATTGTTGCAGAAAACATCATACTCTGACGTTTCTCAGGCAACTTTTCCAATATTATTTCAACATCCTCGGCAAATCCAACTTGAAGCATCTGATCAGCTTCATCCAGAACCACAAACTGAACCTCTGACAGATTCAAAGCTCCCCTTTTCATCAGATCAATAACACGACCAGGAGTTCCAACCGCCACATCAACACCATAATCAAGCTGCCTCATTTGCTGTCCAATCGGTGTACCTCCATAAAGACAAATAGTATCCAAACTTGGAGCAGATTCCCTAAACTCCTTCTCAACCTGGCGAGCAAGCTCCCTTGTCGGTGCCAAAACCAAGCAAAGCGGATTTCTCCCTCGTCTATCACATCAAAGACCCCATAAACCCCCCAAAAAACCTCAGTTAACTAACCAGAAAACGTAAATCTCTGAACCTCAAATGATCATTAAAGACTTTGTAAACACTAACCCATGTTTAGCATTGTATTTAATGATTTTGTCAATGATAGGAATCCCAAAAGCAAGTGTCTTTCCCGTTCCAGTCCTAGCACGACCAATCATATCTCGACCCTCCATAGCTGGCTCCAACACAGCTTTCTACTCAAGCCACAAAACAAAATCTCAGCTAACCATAATTCAAAAACACTAAAGCTGCATAATTCATAAACCCTTTGATCTCACAACATACCTGAATAGGAAACAGTTTCTCAATACCCTTGCTACTCAAAGCTTTAACAATCTCCGGAGATATTCCAAGCTCAGATATCGCAAGCCCATCACTCTCCGAATCACTAATCCTTCTCTCGCTACTCTCAGATATCGCAAACCCAGCAGAAGAAACCATCGAAGCTCTAAACTCCAACGGCCCAGATTCAAAATGAAACTCCCTCGCTTTAACACCAGATAAAAACCCAGGCTTGACATCGGAAGATCCAATTACAGATAGATCGGAGACTCTAGCGGCGGCTGGAGCAAGGTGGTGAAATAAAACAGCATTGATTGAGGTCAACGAAGCGGAGAGATTCCTCTTCGACGCATCAAGGAGAGATCGACGTAGTACTGTAGTGATCATTTTCAGATTCAGGTGTTTCTTTGATAAGGAAAATGTAAAACCCCAAAAATTGGAGAATTAGGGATTTAGAGAGACGAAGAAAGGCAAAGGGTTTTAGTTCAACAAGAACAGTGCAAGTTTTAAGTATAGCTGTCGGGTCGGGTTGCCAAAGCCCATTGGGCCTTTACGAAATTTTTTAAGGATCCGGAGTTTAAAGATCCAAAATAAAGTTCAGGAGTTAAAATAGAAAGTCAGTATAAATTGGGGATTCATATGCAATAAAGCTTCAATATATTAGAATCGAGAAAAGGGTTCGGAGGTAAAAGCTTCAAACGCCGCTTCTTCTTCTTCGTCTTCCTCTATCGCTCTCTGTAAATCACTTCTTCAACCATCTCTGTGGATTTTTCTCTAAACGTAAGTTTTCGATGACGTAGCTGTGTATTGTTCTCAAAGAGATTGATAAATTTTAATTTTTGAAAACCCTAATTTCGTGTGTCGCTCGCTTGATGTTGTGCAGATTAATTGGTGAAGAAGATGTTGACGGAAGAAGAAATAAAAAGATTGTACAGAATCCAGAAGACGTTGATGCAGATGTTAAAGGATCGTGGCTATTTTATAGCGGATTCTGAACTAACGATGACGAAACAACAGTTTATTAGGAAACATGGTGATAACATGAAAAGAGAGGATCTTGTTACTCTTAAGGTTAAGAGAAATGATAACAGTGATCAGGTTTGTTTATATATATATGTCTCCTTCAATGTGTTTATCAGCTTATCTTTGGTGTTCTTTAGCTGAGTCCATCATTGTTTATCTAGGTGTGGAATGTTAGAAAAGATGTGTTAGGTCTCTTAGTTTTAGACATGGAATGTTACAGAGAGTATAGATAAATGCTATCTCTTTAATCTGTAAGAAGCTGTGGATATGGTTTTTAGTGACAGAGTATAGAGAAAGATTGTTTATGTGTGTTTGAATTATTTGTCTTAGTCTCTGTTTTGTGTGCTTTTGTTGTAGCTCTACATTTTCTTCCCGGATGAGGCGAAAGTTGGAGTGAAGACGATGAAGATGTACACGAACAGGATGAAATCAGAGAATGTTTACAGAGCTATTTTGGTTGTGCAACAGAACTTGACTCCTTTTGCTCGAACTTGCATTAGTGAGATCTCTTCAAAGTTTCATCTGGAAGTTTTCCAGGTAAAGAAGCAAACACTGATTTTTGTTCTCATGATGATGTATTTGCATCACCATCCTGACTTGTGATTGGGTGGTTGATGCAGGAGGCGGAAATGCTAGTGAACATTAAAGAACATGTTCTTGTTCCTGAGCATCAAGTTCTTACCACTGAAGAGAAGAAAACTTTACTGGAGAGATACACAGTGAAGGAGACACAGGTTCGTATATAGTAACTTTGTTTGTTCTTGGTGATGAAATTTTAGTCTTGTGTAACTAAAAGTTTGGAACTTGTGGGTGTTGTTAGCTTCCAAGGATCCAAGTGACTGATCCAATCGCAAGATACTTCGGACTAAAACGTGGGCAAGTCGTGAAGATCATTCGTCCTAGTGAAACTGCTGGTCGTTATGTTACCTATCGTTATGTTGTATAAGCTAAAACAAAAAGCTTTTGTGGATTGGATTGCGAATTGAACGCTGAGCGTTGTGAAACATAAGAGTAATGCTTTTGTACTAAACCAAATTGTTATGTCTGTGTTTTATTTTTGTTTGTCAGATATGAGAATTAAAGCTTGAAACAACTTATTTGTATTAGTTTTCTATCCAAAAACTTGCAAGATCTATTGGTTTTGCTCAACAAATTCCTATTTTGGTAATAAATAGAAAAAAGGAGGCCTTCCTTCGACTGGTATTGAGAAGAAGCCCATTGACTGGCCCACTGGAAAACGGCCCACTGGAAAACGGCCCACTGGAAATTATTAAATAGCTAAGCCTAGGGTTCTTCGGAGATTGATGTAGCAATCATGAAGCAAGTTCCAGAAAACAGAATTTTTGTCGAGACAATTGCACGTTTGGTTTCTCAAAAGGGGTTGGAGTTGGAGAGGACGCTCATGTCCATTGATACAAATTTTAATGGAGAAAATTATAGGTTTTTGTGTAACTCAGACCCTAGTCACGTATTCTACAAGCAAACGCTTAATGAATACCTTAATTCTAAGAATCAAGAGGATGGTGATTATGAAGAAGAAGCCGATTTTCCGTCGCCTCCATCTCGTTATCGGGATCTTTCTTTTAGAAGTCCTAATTCGATCACACGCAAGGACCTTAATATTATTAAGCTCACAGCGCAGTTTGTGGCGCGGTACGGCATGTATTTTGTACAGGGTTTGAGGGAGAAAGTGGCTAATAAACCTCAGTTTGAGTTTTTGAAGCCGATGGATATCAGGTTTAGTTTCTATAATGGTATTGTTCGTGCCTATTCCACTGTATTAAGGCCTTGCAGTGATGAAATTATGATGATGATTAGTGTTGCCTTTGTGGGCGTGTTTGAGGTTTTTTTCAACCGTCTTCAATTGGAGAAGCTTGAGGAAGGAGATGTTATGGCTATGATTGATTTGCATGCTTTTGTGAGTGGTGTTGACTCTTTTGCTTACATGGATGATCAAGACTTTCATGATGCCATTAGTGAACCTGAACGCATTTCACTGATGCTCCAGTTTTCAGAAATGAAACCACTGGGATCTAACCAGCTTACTACTACTACTACTACTCAAGGTTGTGATCAAAGTCGTTGCTCTCGTGCATATAGATTGTTTGAAAAGCGGGTTACACTCAAGGAGCTTGGTATCATTAAGCTCACAGCGCAGTTTGTGGCTCGGTATGGGCCGCGTTTTCGTAGGGATTTGATGGAGAGAGTGGCTATGAACCCTTTGTTTGAGTTTCTGAAGCCAACTGATAACAGGTCAAGATTTTTCAATTTTATTGAATATGCTTATTCTAGAGTATTACTACCTTCAGATCATCTGTGGAATAGTGTTGATGGTTGTACGGGCGCAGTTCTTGAGTTTTTTTCAAAATGTCTCCAATTGGAGAAGCTGGAGGACGGTGTTGAGATGGCTACTGTTGATTTGCATGCGTTTGTTGGTGGTCTTGACTGTTTTACTCACCTCAATGATCGAACCTATTCTTATATCCCACCACCTGAACGCCTTTCAACGTTTATGAGATCTCAGCTTTGTAACCCTCAGAATCACCAAGTATGTGTACAAGAACCCGTTCTTGGGCCTATAAGACTGGATGATACTAAATCTAGATTCACTGCAAAAGGGATCACAACTAAGGAGCTTGGTATTATTATGCTCACAGCGCAGTTTGTGGCAAGGTATGGGTTCCATTTCGGGCGGGATTTGCGGAAGAGAGTTGTTATGAACCGTCAGTTTGGGTTTATGCAGCGAGCTGATAGGAGGCATGAATTCTACCGTGGGCTTGTTAATGCGTATTACCTAGTATTAAGGCCTTCCACACAGCGGGATGAGCGTGATCCTTGTACGGCAACCTTTCTTGAGACTTTTTTCGACATTCTCAGAGTGATGAAGCTGGAGGAGGAGGAGGAGGAGGGAGGTAGTTTGCATGCATTTGTGGGTGTTGTTGACTGTTTTGCTCGCATGGATGATGAAGAGTATTCTGTTGTCATGCCACCAACACTACTAAGGCCGCCTGGTATGCCTCCTCCAAAGAGATCTCCAGCTGCTGATATTCATGATTATTGTGTTGATCTTGATAATCCTGAGCCTCATCCTTTTAGAGATCATCGTCTAAGACCTACATCTAACCAATCTCATGCTATGTTGTGTCTCACACACAAGGAGCTATGTGTTATCAAGGTCACGGCGCAGTGTGAGGCGCGGTATGGGATGGATTTTATGCGGGCTTTGATGACGAAAGTGGCTGAGAAGACACCTCAACAGTTTGAGTTTATGGAGGCCACTAGTGGTAGGAGGTTTGATTTCTATAGTCAGCTTGTTGAGTCATATTCCAGAATATTAATGCCTTGCAAAAAGCTTGATGCGGACACCGTTCTTGAGGGGTTTTTCCATTTGGTGGATTGTTTCCAGCAAGAGGGAGTGGATTTTCCTATGGGTTTAGTGGATGCTGTTGACTGTTTTGCTCACATGAATGGTGTCATCAACCCACTACACAACAATAACATTACACTGGTTTATACTGGTCAAGCTTATGTTCAGTGTCCACCTCCTTCAATGCAACCAGAGCCAAAGAGACGAAGAACGGTGTCTGGAGAGATACACAGTGAAGGAGACACAGGTTATTAGTATATAGAAACTTTGTTTGTTATTGGTGATGAAATTTTAGTTGTGGGAACTAAAGTGTGGAACTTGTGGGTGTTCTTAGCTTCCAAAGATTGGGAGATACTTTGGACTAAAACGTGGGCAAGTCGTGAAGATCATTCGTCCTAGTTAAACTGCTGGTCGTTATGTTGTATAAGCCACACGGAAAAAAAAACTTGCAAGATCTCATTCTGATCAATGATAATCAAAACTGGAGTTGATTTTGATCCTTTTATGATGGCCGAGCAAATGAGCCACTCACAATCTAACAAGAATTATAAATGGAAGTGGCGAAGCAAGGGAACACATTTCACTCAAATTGAGAAATAAAAATGAATTAGAGGATATGAAATAATGATATAACATATGTTTGTTTATGAGACAAGAAGTAGCTACAGATTTTATATATAGCTCGACTCCTTGTTAAAACTACTCAACTCGAGATACCGAGTTCTCTCCTAAGTCAACTCCATTATTGCCGGGTCGGGTTAAAACCCACCCAACACTTCTCTCAGTAAGATCTTTTACCATCGTTTGATCCAAACCCACCAAAGCTGCTCCTCCCACTTGACTGAGAAGAACCAAATCCTCCTGAAGAACGGTCTGAACCGCCTGAACCAAAGCCTCCGAAACCAGATGAGCGGTCTGAACCACCAGAGTAACGGCTGCTTGATCCCCCTGAACCTCCATAACTACCACCACCACCACCTGAACGGCCACTGCTGCCACCATATCCTCCGTAACTACCACCACCACCACCTGAGCGGCCACTGCTGCTACCGTAACCACCATAACCACCGCCTGAACGACCTCCTCCAAAGGACCCACCAGATCTAGCACCTACTCCTTCAAACATGCTTGCGCTTCCACGTTCCACCGCAATGCTAGGGAGCTGAATTCAAAACCAAATAGATACAGAACTGTTACCCAAGCATTCAAACAAAAAAATACAAAGAGGGTAAAAAAAATAATATTAACCTCATTGAATCTGCTTCCGACTTCTTTCTCAATCATTTTAACAGCCCTAGATTGCTCTTGACCGTGGATGAGGATCGCGCTTCCTTTCTTTCCAGCACGACCTGTTCGCCCCGTTCGGTGAACAAACGTCTCAGTGTTATTAGGAAGCTCATAATGAATTACCTATTCACAAAGCACAAGATGGGTTAATAAAATGAGAAACAGAACTAGTTAAGAGCAAGGAAAAGTGTAGTTTTAACTCACCAAATCGACATTAGGTACATCAAGTCCACGGGCAGCAACATCAGTTGCAACAAGAATATTGAAATTCCCATCCCTGAAACCAGCAAGTGTTCTTTCTCTCTGAGCTTGGGATATGTCACCGTGTAAAGCTTCACATTTGAAGCTTTTCGCCAATCCATATGCAAGGCGATCCGCATCCCGTTTTGTTTGGGTAAAGACAATACACTTTCCTCCTTTGCCATGTTCCTGTAAAGGAGAAGATATTATTAGATACCGAAAAAGAATCACAACAAGATAAAGATAATGGTTTAAAGAAAACATACGTTTACAAGAGGACCAATGATGGATGCTCTTCCATAAGAATCTGCAGCGATAGAATACATTGTAATTCCATCTGCAAGTTTCTGATCCGAATCTCCAACCTGAATAACATAACACATCACAGTTAGGCAAAAGGTAACTTAAAAGTACATATGTCATAAAACACAAGCAGGTAAGAGACTACTCACAAGATCAATTGTCAAAGGATTATTCAGGTACTTCTTGGTCAGAGATCTGATCCAACTCGGCATTGTTGCAGAAAACATCATACTCTGACGTTTCTCTGGCAACTTCTGCAATATTATTTCAACATCCTCGGCAAATCCAACTTGAAGCATCTGATCAGCTTCATCCAGAACCACAAACTGAACCTCTGATAAATTCAAAGCTCCTCTTTTCATCAGATCAATGATACGACCTGGAGTTCCAACCGCCACATCAATACCATAGTTAAGCTCCCTCATTTGCTGCCCGATCGGAGTACCTCCATAGAGACAAATAGTATCCAAACTTGGAGCAGATTCCCTAAACTCCTTCTCAACCTGACGAGCAAGTTCCCTAGTCGGTGCCAAAACCAAGCACTGAGGATTCTTCCCACGACTGTCACATCAAAAGACAAACATAAGAACCAATGGAAATGCAAATCTCTCAACCACAAATGATCATTATATAGAACTGTAAACACAAACCCATGTTTAGCGTTGAATTTGATGATTTTATCAATGACAGGAATCCCAAAAGCAAGAGTCTTTCCTGTTCCAGTCCTTGCACGACCAATCATATCACGACCTTGCATCGCTGGCTCCAACACAGCTTTCTATTCAACCAACACAAACATAAAAAACTCAGTACAAAAAATCAAAACTTTTGATTGATCTCTATAACGAAATGGAACAGAGAGAAGATGATATATACCTGAATAGGAAAGAGTCTCTCAATACCCCTACCCTTCAAAGCTTTAACAATCTCCGGAGATATTCCGAGCTCAGATATCGCAAGCCCATCACCACCACTGCTACTACCAATACTCTCCGAATCACCAATCCCTCCATCGCTGTTCTCATACGAAGGAGCGTACTCTTGAGCCGCGAACCCCGCAGTTGAAACAATCGACGATCTAAACTCCGACGGTACAGATTTAACATGAAAGTCTCTCCCTTTAACACCAAACGGGTTCGAATTCAGAGGGAGAGACTTAACATTGGTAGCTCCATTTGCTAGATCGGAGACTGTGGCTGTGTTGGCGGCGGCTGGAGCAAGGTTATGAAATAGAGCCGCGTTAATGGAGGTCACTGAAGCGGCGAGAGTACGCCTTGACGTACCAAGGAAAGATCGGCGAAGTACTGTGCTAATCATTTTCAGATTTGATAGAGAGTGATGGGTTTTGGCGATGAAGATGAAATGTGAAACCCCAAAAATGAGAATTAGGGTTTTAGAGAGACGGCAAAAGGGTTTAGAGATTTAAGAAAGAAGAATCAAAGGCGGGTATAAAGGGGAACTTTGTTATAATCACCTGCGGGTGAGTCTATGGTATGTTCGTACACGTGTCAGCGTATTTAAGGACACAGAGTTGATTTTTTTTTTTTTTGCCTTGAGCCCGAAGGTGATGTTCTTGGTTGGATGTGAAGCAAATAAATGGCTCTGGTTCAGAATTAGATGCAAATACTATGTGTCTCAAATCATTAGTATTGTATACAGTGTGTCTTGGATTGGCTAATGCAAAGGGGAGTTCTTGGATCCGTCAAGTTCGATATCATTCGGGTCAAAACACAACTAGTAGCTTCTAAAAACTTCTCAAAATGACATCTTTAGCAGTCTATATATTGTGTCTCAATCACTAGTGATTAACTATTACAATGTAAAAAGACATAAAAGGAAAGCAATTTGCCACTGAAACTCAGTTGAACTTTGAAAATCATCCAAAAACAAACATGTTTATACTAAGCAAGAAAAGAGCTAGTTGATCTGATGTGAAGCAAAGGCTGAGTGAGTTCATGGATCCGTAAGGTTCAAAATTATTGCGGGGGAGTACCCGGTTGGGTCTTGAAACTTCTAAAAGTGACATCTTTAGCCATCTCATTGAGTATTGCTGGAGCCATTGATGTTGCCTAACACTTGAGTCATATCCAAACGGGTCTTGCAATGGAATTGGAGTTCATATTGAGCTCCAAGAATACGATAACGTTTTAACCAAAACAGCTTCTTGCTCAACTCATGACTCTGAGCTTTGATGACAAGAAACCGTTTCTTGAACCGCATCTCAAACTGTTCTCTAGACTTCTTATCGACGTGAGGCGATCGTAGCACCGTGTATAGAGTTCGTGTATCGGGCATTGCAACTTTACGAGTGTGAGGAGGAAGACACCAAGCTTGCTTTTCCGGGTTATCGAAAGACCGAATCGCTATGCAAATCTTTGTTCCTTTTATCTTTGATGTGCTTTCTTCTGCTGCCTCTTTCTACATTCAACCACAACATAAACAAACAGTTCCAAATGATTTCAACACCAAAACTCAATAAATTAGAGAATAAATTTCACATTCCAGTTCCTATTTGAATTTGAATCTGATGAAGCACCTTGAACAATATCCATGAATTTAGAGAATGAATTTGAACAAAAATGTATATACCTGTAGAGCGATCTCCTTCCTACTCAATGGTTTGACATTGTCTGGAGAAATTTTAATCTTAGCTTTCTTGATCTCGTTTTTGCGATCTCTTGTGACAGTAGCGTAACCTTGTGACGCGATTCCTGCAGGAACAATCATCGACGGCTCAGATCTAATGTGGAATTCTCTCGCTCCAATACCAAACGAGTTCGGAGACGACGCGAGAATGAATCGAGAGCTGACGGAGACGTCGGTGGTGGCTGGAGTGAGATGGTGCGAAATACACGAATTGAAGGAGGTTAAAGCGGCGGAGATAGTCTGCCTCGACGGGAGTGAAGATCGGCGCAATACTCCGGTGATCATTTTCAGATTCAACGGTGAGACGGAGAAATGACGACGAGAGATTGAACAAGGAAATCTGAAAAACCCCAAATTAGGGTTTCAGTGAAAGAGTAAGCGAAATTAGAGAGGATTGTGAGGACAGAATCACGTGTGACGAGTGTACGTTATCTTACGGTGAGCTACAGTATAATTTTTTTTTTTTTTACTAAGACAAGTAAAAAGATGCAAAAATGTTAAAATCCCAGGAAACAACGTGAGTAAAATTACAAATTAACTCTACTAGTTTAACCAGAGATAATCAGAGTAATACATAAGAGAAACAAAAAAAAACTATATCCATAGATTCTAGAGTTTCTGAGTAATGTGTAATCATCAATCCTGGAATCTCTGGAGGGTTGTTGTCTCAAGAAGGTAGGTACAACCGTACAAGTTTTGGGGTTTGAGAGATTCTTCTTCCTGCCTTTGTTTTTTCTTTCTTCTTTGTTTTGTCTCTGTTTCTTCAACTAGTTTATGCTCTGGTACTCGACTTCTTGTTGAAAGATTCAATAAAGCGGAACATCCAACGATCTAACATTCCTGTTTTAAGGTATGAGATTACCTATATTAGGGAAATATTTTGAAAGATTTGAGTATTGGAGACAAGACTGAGATGGGACTAACCTGTCAAAGCAAAGGTACCGCCTAATACAGCGCAAAGCCGAGTGATTAAGTGGAGAAAGCTACGGCGTTCTTCCTTGATGGTCACAGTGATAGGTGAAAGATCGTATAAGAAGTAGACAGCTGGAAGAAAAAAGGCACATCAGAAAACAGAAACAGAGTTATAGGAATCAGGTGCATAGTTTCAAATGAACTTTGCTCAACTAACCTGGCCATGTCCGGTCAAATTCAGTCATCGGCGTGTAATATTCGGTTACAGAGTACTGATTTGTTGACAGTACGTCTTTTGAAAGATATCTATATTCTGTGGGAACAATCTGCGCCATATTAGAAAGAAATTAGTGACCTAAACTAACAAATACTGATTTGTGTACAACGAAATGAAACATACCGGTAAATGATTTCAAAGTAAACAAATAATGAAGTATATAAAATAAGGCCAGCAGAGATACATGAATAAAAGAATACTGAAGAATTTGGGTAAACACCTTAATATAGTACTTGAATGTTCCACTGGTGTCATGCAGTATTCGGTTGGTGTCATCAAGTGGGTTGTGAATTCCGGGGTATTTCGGCCCAAAGGATAGATCATGAATCATATGGCTCACGTTTACATTTTTGGACCCGCCAAATATCTGTTCACAGAGTAAAGAGATTAGTTAAAGTATGTTCTTGGTTCAGGGTTTCAGACACTTTTTCACTTAAGTCCTGGTAAGGGGGTGGTTAATAAAGCGAGATAATGATACCAACCATCTGAGCAACATAGATGTTCAGCCCGTGAACTGAAATATGGAAGTTTCCAGCAACCCGTTGTACATCTAGGACACCATAAACCTGGAAAAAATCCAAAAGATTAGTCTCTGTTTTCTATAATGGCGATAATACAAAATCTCTAATTTGTATATTGACAAGAGAAACGGTTAATACCCGACATCCTTCTCCATCTGCCAATGCTTGCTTCACCTTTTTAATCATAGTCTCAGCAGCTTGATCAAAGCCAAGAATATTCAATGCTTCGGTTTCAGTCTCATTCTTGTGTTCTTCTTTGCCATCTTCAGCAAGCACAAAGACAAAGTGTATACATGATTAAGTCTTTATTATACCCAAAAAAACAAATTAGCTACCATGACAATTATCACTAGGGCTCTCTTATATACCAAATACCATCCACCTTAATAATAAGCCTCAATTCAACTTGTAAGATTCCTATTAATATTTGCTTGAGAGCACATAATTTGAGTAATTCAGTTCTCCAGGTACAACATATTAAATAAAGGTGTACATCATATTATCAGTTTTATCTTAGTATGGTTACTACAAGGTTTGACATGAACATAGACACAACGTGCACATGACTATCTGTTCTTCCAAAAGATTCAAGACATACATTCAAACGACAGTTAAGGGAAAAAAAAGCTCGTCAGAAAAGGTACAAACTCGGTAAAGGCTCATAAAGTTAAGAATTTTACCATGTTTGTGAGGTGAGTGCCCATGCTCATGCCCCTTTTCAACAAGATCAGATATATATTCTGTGCCAATGATATGACCATGACTGTTGAGACGGAGCTGCATATATTCATAATTAGTGAGCAATTAACTTGAGTATAAAACAGTACAACTAGAGCAAATGCCATAAGAAGTGAGATAAAGATTCTAAGGGAAATATTCAAATAGTTCCCTTCAAATATAATGTTTAACCTAAATATGAACAGTAAGAACAGCTATAATGTCTTAGGCGCAATCAAACAAAATAAACTTTGGTAATTTCAAGAAGGTGGAAGAGAAAACATCTGAAGAAATTTGTGATCTGCATTAGCATCTGGATTCATCTTACCTTCCAAATGTTTGTATCAAGATCCACTTCATGCTTCCCAGACATGTCGATAGCATCTACACTCAATACTACAAAACAAATAAGATTAAATGATTACGTCTACAATGACAAGTATTCCAGAAGGTATGGAGGAAGGAAAGTAATATAGACTTGACTTATAAGTGATCAATGGATTTCTCTTACCATCACAAGGCAAAGATGGAAACGTCATATTTACATGAATTGGAAGAGTTTCTCCACGCTTTAAGTCCACAGACATCTAGAAAACAAAACATGATACAAATTCCAATTTGATTACAATGTTTCTAATAGACAAAATGAGAAAAACCCCTACGAGTCAGTCATATGGACAGAGAGAAACTAGGGTATCAATGAAGTTAAATCGACAGAGAGACTTCAATTCCATATTTCCCTAATGATATGAATCACAAAACTTCGAGTAGGACATTCAAATTACTTTGCATTACCTCACTTAAGTTAAGTTACCTAGAGAAGAAATGCATAGTTTGCGACAATAACTAGGTTAATGAGGGCAATGACAGACTTTCACGTAATCTCAACCAATCAACCACAGAGTGGCATCAATGAATTTCAACGATAACAGATGGAAGAATACTAATTCACATGATCCATTTACGGAGTTTCATAAGATAAAGATACACGAAACAAAATTTCATCCACTTGAATGTATAGGACTATTCCTACTAGTTTGAAGGCTAGAATCAGAGCAATGAACAGAAAAACACCAGAATTCGCTCGAACTAAATACATACCTGGTGCACAGTAAGTGTGTTAAGATAATAACTCAGCTCGTGTAAGAACAAAGTAGCCATTATAAGAAGTCCAACAATAGATACTACAATAACAACAAATTTAAAATGTTAACAGATCCAAACACACACAGGGGATTCTAAAATAACGAGAGGAGCTAACAGGAAAAATCCATTACCAACTGCACCAGATTGTGTCTTCTGCAGCAAATGATCCTCTGCTCTTGGAAACGCATCGATGCTCCTTAGAGCCTGCTTCACACCCATCCTAGCAACTTCCGTCGAAACTTAAATTCTTCGAAAACTAAACGAATCGAAAATTCCAAAGGACCTACCATATCACAAACCAACATCAGATATACAATATTACCAAATTCATACAATTTGGTACTAAATCAAACCAATTCTCTTCTTCTTAATTGTATATATCTCGATCTAGACAAAGCAGAGAGCTTCCATGGCGGTTTTATCTAAAGGGTCTATCTCAAAACCAAACAAGCATATTGCCCACAAAGATTTCATCAACAAAATCAGATTTTTCAAGTATGATCTTCTTCACCGGCCCTAGATTGGAAAATTCCCCCTCTCTTATGCGTAACAATGGCGATGAATCTAAGATAATTCCAAAAGCAAAAAATCAATTTTAGAGAACGTACTCGAATTCGAAGGTGATGAGGATGAAGCGCGCGCCGAGAGAACAAGGATGGAGAAGAAGAGAAAGAGAGATCTCCGGGAAGAGAGACAAACAAAAGGCGTCTCTTTTTTCCGTCTCTTCTTATTTATTAATTGCACCCTCAATTTACTAAACATTTCAATTTTAGCACATATAATAAATCTTCTTGTTTAAAAGTACAACAATCTTCTAATTTATTTAAAACCCCCAAAAAGTAGAGATTTTTGGGAGAGGATAAATGTTTTGCTCGATTTTTTCGGATTTTGCTTATCGATTTTATAGGGGTGACAATGGGAATTGGTTTGTGAGGATCTTGATCGTAGAAGACTACACTACATGCTAACCAAACTTTGGCCTATGAATCATGTTCGGGTTCTGACCATGATGGTTTAGTACTCCTACATTTTCATTTGAGACCAAAAATTATTTGGTGATATAATGTAATGTGTTATATTGGTTAATCGAGGAGTTATGAATCATAACTTATACATTTCCGTTCAAGTAACAATTTTTGTTATTCTTTTGTGAAAATCTAACTAGAGAATTTAAGTTAAAGGGTCCGAAAACTTACGACTATAAAAGATTTCACTTGATAGGATGTTATTTTTGATTTTTAGTGGTTTTTTTTTTGCCTTGTCGTCCGGGACTTTGATGTATATTGATAACAAAGATAAGTACAACCATCACATAGACCTAAGTACTAATATGTTGCTCCAGCTAATATCAATCTTGATATGTAATTTACACATGGGGGTTTATACTTTGGTTGAAAACGGTGGATTGGTTGACAAAAACAAAATGAAACGTGATTGGGCCGTCTTATCAATGCCTTTTGATTTTGAGGTAGCAATAGGGACCCATAAGCCCAATCTCAAACTTCCCTCCAGAAACTAACCCCGAAAATAGTGTTTTGTTAAACAAAGCAATCACGTTTTACATATTGCTTCGAGACAACAAATTAAATAGTTTAGTGTAATTGCTTTAATCGATTAGATCCGCCCAAGCTTCTGTGGTCTAGTGGCAGAGGAAGCTTTGGTGAAGGGTGAAACTCCCAGACCCGAGTTCGATTCTCCCTGGAAATAAAAACACATTTGTTTGGGAAGTCTGTCAGTTGGGCCTTGGCCCAATTGGTTTACCTGGTAGTCAGAAATACAGGCGGCCTGACTACCCCTGGCATTAGTCGGAAGACATTCCAAACTCGGATCAGGCAGTGTGGTGGTCCAATTCTACCTGGATCGGGAGAAGTCCACTCTGTAACACCTCGGTGCGTTCCTACCGAAGCCGACCGGATCAGCCGATATGGTTTATAACAAAAAATAAAAAATAATAATAATAATCGATTAGATCCCAAAAAACAGTTATACAACTCTATAAAAATTCCGTATAGAGAAAAAAATTGCTCAAACCATCCGTTCTTAATACATGAATTAATGTTGTGTTCTTCATAAGGTCATGCCATAATGTCGTGGGCCAAATGGTCCGTGTCGTGAATACTAAAATCAGACTAAACATCGAAACCACTATCACATCTTTTCAATACCTATTTCGATCAAAGTCATATTAATGACCCATGTGTCCACTTCCAAGTTCATAATCATGTTTCATGTCTTTATCTTTTTCTTTTTTCATTCTTAAGAAATTAAAGAAAAAAGGAGAACACGTGACTTGCGTGTTGTGAACAGATTGCAAAACATGCTTCACGTGTCTTAATTCATCCACTAATATCAACTTTTCTATACCTACCTTTAACTTTAATCTTGCTTTCAACTAATGCACAAAAAATTGCATTCCCTAAATGCCTCCAAAATTAAACAAATAATCCACTGACCAATCTCATTTATGGATCGACTTTCTATTTGTGGAAAGTATATTAAACCAAACCGCTCCAAACCTCACATGGCACAAACACTACATGTGGCCAATCTTTTCACAAAGCACAAAAGTCAGATTCCTAATTTTTTTTCTATCTTAATATGTAAACTTCTAAAATTCACAAGTCTTCTATTGACCATTTCAAACACATCGTTCAAATTTCATAAATACAACACTAATATATATATTAAAATTAAACAAATATACATTACAAATTTATACATTAATATAACTTGTGTATCATTTATCATTGTCGCTCATTGAAATCTTATTACTATAAAAAAAAATAGAAGTGTTGTTAACATATATACACCGGACATATCAAGAACAAATTAATTAGATTCACATTACTCTAGATACTTCTTGAGACACATAATTGATACACATATACTTACTGAAAAAAACTACCATATTTCTTTTGAAATATTTTTTCCCTCGTATTGAAAATATGAAGCACGTGACCAAATTTGCAGATATTTATTTTTTTCCACCAAAAAAAAGTCATATATAGCACGTTCTTATATATACTTTACATGCATCTACGTCAATGTTGATTACTTTGATACGAAAATCTACCAAAGTAAGAATCTTGACCCAGAGAGAATCATGAAAGGTTGCAGCTTAGATCTCCACCTATCTCCAATGGCCTCTACGCTTCAATCTTGTCGCCAAGATTCTACGTGAGTTTTATTTCTTCTAATTAATAACTCCACTTTCATATTTAAACCTCTTAATTCTTTTTGAAAATGAATTTTCTTTATAGGGTTAATGATCATTCTTCAGCCATAAGATCTAAGGAAATTAATGCATTTCATAGTGGGAGATTAAGTGAGTACGATCTTGTAGAGATCCAGGTACATTTTCGACCTTCACTAGCTATTTTTAATTTTTTTCGTTTTTTCGCTTTTCTTTATCGATTATAATATTGATGAGTGAAAATTCAATACATGAAGATGAGGGCAATAATAGAGATGGCGAGCAAGGAGCGTGAAGTAACGGCGTTAGAGTTGGCCCCGATGAGACTGGAATCACCGTTAGGGTGTTCGGTGAAGAGATCGGTGAAAACGTTCTTGGAGAAGAGGAATAAGAGAAGCAAATCTGTTACACCTAACACCTCTACCTCCTCATCCTCCTCCTCTCCTCATAATTTCTAAACATGATTTTATTATGTTTTCCTTCTAATTATCAATCAAAAAACAAAAGAAAATCTTTCTCTTTTTTTTCTAATATGGGATTTTATAGCTCGTATTTTTCTCTCGTCATTTTTCCCGTTACTCGGACGATGAATTTCGAGTTTTTTTTGTTCTGTTTTAAATCAAGACGTTGTATTACCATTGGAGTCTGTATAAAATTCAGATCATTTGGATCGTTTGTTTTATTTCCCCATTCATGTATGAAGTCTCGCACACTTCTCTTACAATGAGTTATGAGGTTGTCCGTTTATTCCAAGTTAAGTATATGTACTTTGACATAAGCTAGTGCAACTTCTAAAATGTTTGACACCAAAGATTAGAATGGACAAAGTATATCACTAGCTTTAATGAATTCTAGTAGTTAACGCGACACTCATCATTGGCCCTTGGTCATTACCATTACAGAAATTTTGTAGTATAGAAAATCAAAATCAAATTTTATTAAGATCCTTATTATAGTAACTTAAAGACGCTGTCCAAATGAAGGGCCAAGTGATTCCAAGAAATCACAAGGCAAACCAAAGATTCTACGAGGAACAACAAAATCAGTTGGATCTTAGAGTTGTACTATTAGCTCATCACAAAAAAAGTAGAAGAGCCTAGAAGATGAAACGTTGAAACAACACCAACGAGAGAGATGGATCCAAGAGAATTCAAAAGAGGGTTTTGTGAGTTCCTATAACTATTACACGAAAGAGTTCTCACAGGAAATAAACATATCAGATAACAAACTTTTTAACTCCCTATCCCAGCTGCTTTTCCAGACCTAAACCTGTTAATCGAAGATGATTAGCACCTATCGCCTTCTCACTATTCTCCGGATAAAGGGTTTATCATCATTCTGTACACAAAACACTAGTATCCTTCCCAAACTACTAAAATTCCCTCCTATTTTTGTTTCCCTAACGATTAGAGCACCAAAATATGGCTCCCCTCGGAAGACATTGCTTCTTCCGATAACCTACTACTCCATGTTTCACATTCTTTCCCATCATCAAATACACAAACCAAGCAGAATTTGCATTTGTCCACCATAATAGAAAATACGAAATATAAAAGAGTTCAAAGTTAAAAAAGGAAGAAGAAGAGCAGAATCTAAAAGCACTTTTCACCTGAAACCCTTGTGAAAAGATTCCTACACCACCAGGTTACTTACAAGTTTGTCTCCTGAGTCCACACCACACCCCTTGACTGTTTGTTTGATCCACAGCCTTGAAAACCAAGAACTGGAATCTTCCAAGCCCATGGTTCTCTAATTCTTTATTAACCTCTCACAGATTCGGAGTTGATCTGTCCACCCCTTGCATGAGACGCCGACTCACTAATTGCCGACGGTTTACGACCAAAGTTTAATAAATAGTTCCTCTGGTCGTCATTGGTGTGACGCAGACTCGCACGTAAAAGCTCAGCGGGCATTTCCCTCTTTATCGCCAGCTCCAAAACATCCGCTGCACTCCCTTGGTTCTGACCGCGGATTGTCTCATACTTGCTTCTGCAGTATTTCGTAAGAAGGTTGAAGAATTCATCAAATGAGGCTCTCCAGAGACCATCATTAGAATTCCCATGCATGACTCGAGGAACCACCACTACTTCAGCAGCTCTTTCAAGAAGAGATATCAAGACAACTGAAGCACCATCCCCAGCAGAACTTCCAATAGGACGCAGAGGTGGCTGCTCTGAAGAACAAACTACAGCTGCAAGGCAAGCACTCAGTGCTCGAAGGTCCATGGCTTGAACGCAAACCGTGACTGCTTTGGCAAGATTAGATATCGTCTCTGCTGCTAAAGTATCTGAAGGCAGGCCGCCGAACAGAAACCTCAAGTGGCGGAATATAGCCATACAGACAACTCGAGCAATCTCAGTACCTGGAACTAGAAGTTGTAGATACTTTGTAAGCAATTTCCGACCCTTGGGGAGAGTCGCTATACGTAGAAAGACAATATCATCCTTAGCAGTCATCCCGGATTTCTGACCGGTTTTGCTGAACGGATCAGCAAGTTGAAGCGCTGTCGCTAATCCTTCTAGCAGGATCTGCCGCTTTCTCTTGAGTTGGGCACCTCCGTCCTGGGGTCTTGTGTTCTGGAGAGTCCTGTCAATGTCAACTATGTCAATAAGAACTCCAAGAGCATCTTCAATTGTAACCCTAGCTGCAACGAGAGGTTCCTGTTCCAAATGTTTTCCTGAGCCCTTATGATCCCCACTTCCATCGTTAAAACCAGGAGAAGAGTCAACCTCGAGCAAGGCATGTGGCCTGCGGACAGAAGGAAGTGTAATCTTACCAAGAGCATCTACATGAACTTGTGGATGCTGTTCAGAACTATTACGGGACCGAGGCTGGTGGTCCTTCAACTGAGCAGGATAGAAGTGAGAGATTGCTTTAGATCCGGCAGACTTCTTGGCAAGCTTAGCTTGGTGGTAATAATCATTGACATAGGGATCATTGCTGTGTGAATTGGAATGCTGCATCTTGAGTATACCCTCTATTTCTTCTGAAGTCATGTGCTTTGATCTAAACTGCAGTCCACTTTCACTTTTCTGACTAGCTGCGTCTGACGCCTGTTGAGAGAGGCCTCTGTTCTTTCGACTTCTATGAGATGACTTATGTTTGTGTTCCCTAACTTCACCAACTCCAAAAGGGGCTTTACGTGATGGCGAAGGATAGGAACTATACAGTTGGGACTGTAGCGCCGCAAGTTGAGCATACGATTGTCTCTGCTGGAGGGCGAGCAAATGTTGCGACATAATAGCATTTCGAGGAGGCAATTGTTGATGCTGCTGTTGCACCAGATTATGTAATAAACCAGAATGATCTCCGTGTAGAAGACCAGGATCAGTGACCCAATGAGGTTGCACCATGTTACCAAGCGTAGGACCGCACGAGGCATATCTAGCCAAATTACCACCATAGTGGGGCCCTTGCGACAATCCTGAAAGATGAAAACCAGAATTTGACAGCGGGGAAGGTGCAGAATAGGTCAACTGAGAACCACCAGGAAGAGAAGGAGCCCGATGGAGATTTCCGGGTGAAGCCTGCGGAGATCTGCTACCAGGCGGGGGAAATGAGGTAAAATTTGATTCTGGTAAAATTATTGGTTCACTATTGTAGTGCTGCAGCTGCGGTTGCTGCTGAGGATAGGAGGATGTCCTGTACAAAGGTTTTGAATGAGCAAATGATTGTGGCTGTGAGGACCACCTCTTAGCTTCTTGATCTTGTTCGTCCAACCAGCTTGTGAGCTCTGCATCATGTGTCCAATCGGTAGCAGAAGAACCTACAAGATAGAGTTCAGTCAGAAAAAAGCTAATCGTGGAAATAATAGCTCGAAACAGGTAATTCGATATTTTAAGTACTGTATTTGCAACTTAAAATGACCACATGATTTCTTCAACTACCACAACTTATATCTACAATTCACCTCAATAAAACGGACCAGGTCACAATATGTGGACTCAGAAAGGATTTAATAGTAGCTATACTAAGTAAAAAAGCTACTGATTAGTCAAGCTCAGCTGCCGACTTTATCAAAAAACGGGAAGAGAAAAGGAAACAGAAGAATATAACAGGAGAAAAATTAACCCTAAAGTTATGAAGTAGTAACCAAGTTACGAATTCAACTCACTCTCTCTTGAAAAGGATCCTGATCCTCTATCACCAATAACTCCAGGGTGTTTGGGTCCGGTAACAACTCTGTTTAACTACACAAAAGAGAATAGGTAGATTTAGAATCACTGACAACAAGTCAAAACTAAAAGAAGAAGCTGGAAAAAAGAAGTAACAAGCATTTGCATGAAACAAAAAATGAGGTTCTTCGCCCTTATTTGGAGGATGTAGTTACATTCATTAGCTTGCCAGGAAAAAAAGAAGATGATTATCGCATGCAACCAGGATAATGTTTGTAAATTAGAATTATGCTAACCTTTGCGAAAGTTGTTGCAAGATCATCCATGTCAGATAGTGATCCTAAACCTGCCCCCTGGAACAACATGCATATCTATTAGTAAAACATCTGCAACCATTTGTCACTACATGCATCATTATCAAGATGTTAGCTTTCAACAGAGAAAGCATCTTACCTCTCCTTTATCAAACAAGTGATACTCATCATCATCAGCATGTCCAAGAACAGGAGCGATCACTCCATCATCGTCAAGACCCCCAATTTCCATATCATCCAGATTCTGACCAAAAAACTCATATTGTGATGCATCAAAGAGTGTGCTGTTTTTATCTGCAGATACAAAAACAGCTGCTTCAGAGTCCAACATTACAAACACATGACCATAAAAATCTGAACTTTCAATTCAATGGATAACACAACAGCTCTGAAGACAAGTTTGTTAGTATCCAAATTGGCATTGGAACACAGCATCGAAAACTAAGCAAACCCATAAATCTTCAAAGGTAATTCAGTAAAAGAAACATAAGATCCCATTAGAACACAAAGCAAAGAGAATATAAAGATGCTTATAGCTCAGTGACCTAAATCATACATTAGCAAAAATCTCCAACCTTTAAATGCTTAAACAAACCAAGCAATACACAAAACCAGATCCAAAATCAGCTATAAGCAGCAAAATCATAAAGAGAAAGAAAGAAACATCCTTTGAGAAGAAGACTAACCTAAGGAAGAAGCACGCACAAAGTTATACAAATCCCTTGAATCAGATCTCTCCATGATCAAAGAGGTCTCGAAAAAACGAAACTTTAGAGGTAAGAGAAGATGACAGAAGAGGACATAAGAGAATCCTCCTCCCCCTAGGGTTTCAGATAGGTGCTTTGTGAAGGAGATAGAACAACAAAAAATTGAGAAATTTTGAGGTGGGTAAGTGAAATCAGCAGAGATTGCTGCTAGGGTTTTCGAATTGATAAAAACAAAAACGCAAGTAAAAAGTTGAAGAAGGAAATCTAAAACTCTCTCCGCGATAAAAAAAGAGAGAGAGAGATGGGTAATGAAGAGAAGGAAGAAGAAAGAAGAAAAGCAATGGCCTTTATTTTTTCTTGTTCTGTTTCCTTCGCCGTGTGTAACATCGACACATGACCTGACCTTTGCCCAAACCAAATAAAATCCAAACTTTTTTTTTTTTCACATTTTGTTCCTATTTTGTTACTTGATGATAAAATTAGTCTTAAATCATTAAGTGGTTGTTGAAAAAATCATTAAATGGTAGAAACAAAACTTTAAATCCAACATATTTACTAAAATTAATTATAAGAAAATTAAAAGTTAATTTATGTAAATTTTGTTGCATAAGATGTGTTTAATTTTTGGGTTTTTAATATACTACATGCACTGCCTAAATGATATGCTTATACGAGTCAAAGAAAAAAGTGAAGCTTTATGTCTGATGATCCCACTGATTCTTTTATTCTTGAGGTTTAAGACCCATTACTTTACTTGTTCCAAACTCAACCAAAATCAATTTTTAAAATATTGAAAAGACATAGACTTTATTTATATATATCAAATTATATATAAATCAATGACACGTTTACTTGGTCCATGTGATTGTATTTCATCCCGGTCGGTTCAAATTGATCTCATTATGGTCCATTTTTTAAAGTATCACAACCAATATTTTTGATGATGAGATTGTTTGATGATGATAGTTGTATTTTCGTTATGATTCATCATTTCCAAGTAAACTTAGGGAAAAAAGTCAATACAAATGATTATAAAGGTATTTAAAATAATGTATCTATGTTTACTTTTTTCTTTTACAATGATAAGCATACATGATACAACAAAGTAAGGTTATTTCAAAGTTCACAAATAAATCTGAGGAAGGTAGTATACATTATACAAATAGAGAGGAACTGAACTTCAAATCCAATCCTAGAAGAGCCAATGCTTCCTTCTGGGTTTTCTTGTTGGAACATCTGGAAGAGCAAGAACTACTCAGATTGAGATTCAGAAAGCCATAGAGATAATTAGTGAATGATAATAAGTTACTTAAAAAGCAGAGTTGAATGCAGGAAGCTGTGATTTACCTCCATTAGCGTATAGCGAATTGTAGTGAACTTCGCTCCAGAAGCTAAGCCAAGCCTCTGCAGAACAGTAAAAGGATTTAGACAAGACGGTTAGGACCGAGTAAAGTTGGCTTAGTTAGAGAGAAAAGGAAGAAAGAGAGGCTTTGTACCTCTAAGAGGGTTCTTGTTATGGGGAAGAATCTCGATGTAGGATTGATCCCGAAAGGATGTGACTAAGCAGATCTTTGCTTCGAACTACAGTAATGCTGAGTCAGCAGCCAGTCATTCAAGTAAAAAAGAACGAAATGTGAGCGAATAAAAGGTCAAATTTGCGATGATTTCTCAAGATGTAGTTGCTCAATAGAAGATCTGATCTTTAAGGTATGTTTGTAAAAATTTTGAAGTCTATAATAGTAAACTCAAAAGATGGTATCTCTTTTAAAACTTACTCGATCTGCAGCAGCTTGAAGAGTAACATGATCTCCCCATTCACCATGTCTATTTGCATCCAAAATGTATCAGCAAAAAGAATGAATCGGAGAATAATTTATCACTCATTGAGACACTATATCAAAAAGAAAAATGTCTCACTTTTTCATCTTCCTGGTGTAGTGTCTGTATTTCATTGGCACATATTCTTCGTATAACTTCCGTTGTTGTTTTAACTGAAAAATGCACATGCTAAGTTAGAATAATTGCAGTAAACTAGTAAGTAGTATGTGGCCTAAACTAAGGAAATTGGTGTTGTGATGGGAACTTCAGGAAATGAGCTAACTGCTAAAGCCGAGAAAAAAAGTTTCAGAGATTGAACGCCAGTCAACAGAGACAGGAAAGACAGCTTGAGGGGTGTTTCTGAGGAATTTTCAGAAGAAGCAAGAGTTTACGAAATAGAGCCAGTATATATAATTAAACACATTCATCCCTGAAGGCACTGACTAAAGAATTAGACATTCTTCCCAGAACAGATCTATAAATTTGTGAACAAGAAACAGAGTTGCATTATGGTTCTCAGACAGTACCTGCTTTACAACATGCTTCCTTACATGTTTATGGTAATCTGCATTGCGGAAAAGCTGGTCTGCTAAAGCTCGAAACTGGCAAACAAGTATAACATATGACAGATCAAATTAATACAAAATCTTTGAAGAGTCCACACAAGGTCTATATGGATGTTCCTTTCAACGTACCTGGCAATTTCCATCTCCCTCCATTTGTAGTTCGGCTAACCCATATGTAGCCAACCTGGAAAAAAAAGAAGAGAGACCATCATAAATGATTTAGACGAAAAGTTCAAAACGGATGTTTTAGAGCTATATATATTCAAAGCACCTAGTTTTTCTGTCTAAGCTTTTTGGCAAATGAATAATCAAATCAGCATCAAATGAAGAATGCAATCAAGGTAATAAAACATGAAGACACGAAAGAAAACATGGATAAGATGATAAGAACCTCCCAGAGAGCAGCTCATGGTCTAATGTTGCATCATTTATATCGGGTATTTGCCTGTTAACCCGAGGAGTATGCTGCCAATACGAAATTCCACAGGATACAAAGCAAAAAGTTACTCTCAAGTGTAGGATATTCAAAGAATTTGCACTAATAGACACTAACATTAACAGTAAGTAGCACACATCCAAGCCTATATACATATGAAAATTAGTTAAAAGATGTTTATCATACTGGGATAGAATCCAAATGAGATAATCTCTTCCCAAGCTTGCCATCTCTTCTTAAGCTCTCATCTTCAGCTAATATACGTGCAATGGTTTGATCATCGTCTGTATCCGCCACACTGCTACTAAAACTCGAGTTAGAGCTTGCACTTGTACTGCCGCTTGCTCTTGCACTTGTACTTGCATTTGCAAATGGATTCCTATTGTTTTCATCCATAATACTTAAATCCTACACTAAATACAACCTAGGAAGCAAGACAAAGACTATCTCTGATCAGTTTAAAACGAAAGCCATAATCTTGAGAAACTAGCATCAATCCAATACCATTAGCCAACCAAATACCAAAAGGTATATCACCTAAAATGTTGTAATCCGTAACAAAAGAAGACAACTTTCTATTCAATTACACAAAATTACAGAAACCCAGATCAAAGATCACACTCATTCAATCACCCAAATTCAAAAGAAACCCAAAACAATCTCAATTCCCACCAACGATCTTGAAATGTTACCCACTACTAGAAACGTAATTCTCCAAGATTGAAAACCCTTAAGTCTGAGCAAACAAAATCAACAAAAAGTTCAGACAATTACCAACAAAATCGGGTTGCTTGACTTGGCAAATCGATCAGCCAAAGCAAGAGGAAGAGAGAAATCGTTGAAGAAAAGAAAGAGACACCTAAGAGATAGAGAGACGTCAGCGACAAAAGAAGCTAAAAAAGGTTTCTTTTTTTCCGATGCGATTGATTACTGCAGACAAAAAAATGGATACTTTCGTCGGTCTCAGAAATGTTTTCTTCTTCGTCAGATTTCCTCAAGACTTCATTTTTTTCTTCTTCTTTGGCGGTCAAAGAAAACGTCACCGTTGCGTGTCGTTTTGATTTTTTTTTCCGCGTTTCGTTTTAATTATTTTCAGTTAATCCTTTTTTTATTAGTGTGTAATAAGAATATTATTGCTTTATTAATGTATTTTATTTTTTTTCTGCAAAATAAACGACCTTAAAAGTAATGCAAATTCTTTATATGTATAAAGAAAAAGTAGAAAGAAAAAATTATAAAACTATCGTAAATTATCAGATAAAATTAGTTGTTAATACGTTATTTTATCACTATGTATTTAATATACTCTTTTTTTTTGATAAAAAAACCAATGATGCATTAAATAACCTAGACAATATATAAAATCACACATTTATTATGTTTTAAAGAAAACTGATTAACTTAAATCCTTAGAAAACTTTAAACTTTCACTTGTAATGTATATGAGCGGTAACTTTTTGCTTTGTATCCTGTGGAATTTCGTATCTTTTAAATAGATAATTGGCTAAATAATTCTAATGATTATATAAAGGCGTATGAGGAAAACGTTGTGCAAGACAATGTCGCAATTTTTTCTCTTAATTTGTCAACTACTTTTAATTCGTTCAACTTAAAGATGATTGACATGCGTGCACCATATAAGACCAGATCAACTTGTCTATTTTGATATATGAATATGATGGCTGAATACTGATGGCTCTCCAAAGAAATTTGTATCCATTTAAAATATATATATTTATTGGTCACTAGAGTCAAATATATTCGTTAATATGGTTAAAATATGTTCCCACTAAGGCTTCATACCAAATATTTAACCAAATCAAAACTTCAATCGTTGAATCAATCTTGATTTAAGTTGTTAGAAAATACTTTGCATTTTCACGTACTTATTTTGAAGTGAAAATAATGAAAATATAAACATCTTGATACTTCTTCGGTCGTCTATTTTATCTCATTTTTAAAAAGTGTAAAATTCATTTCCGAACTCAAACGAGCTTCATTCCCCATTGCTCTATCTCTTAACTTCTTCAATCTCTCACTCATATCTTGATCCTCCATTACTTTCCTTAGTCCATCTTCAACCTCCTTCTCTCCAAACCCGCTCAATCTCACCCCAATCTTCCACACGTCTACGATGTATTTACAGTTCACAAACTGGTCTCCAGCCACCGGATAACACAGTAGCCTCCGAGAACTTGCCACCGCCTATTGTACAAACAATGAATGAAAATCAATGACACATATGATACTATATAGTATTTATATAGTGGCTACCATAATCATATAATACATGTTAGATGATTATACTAGTGTATGTACCTCCATGGTTGAGTTCCAGCCACAATGAGTCACGTAACATCCCACAGAATCGTTTTTAAGAACTTCAAGTTGCGGAGCCCACGAGACGATCCTTCCTTGGTTTTTGGTAATTGTTACTCTATGCACGAACCCTGGTGGTAGTCCCTCTTGCCACACTCGGTTTAGCGCCCAAAGGAAAGGTCTCCCTGAAGCTTCTAACGCCAATGCTAACGTTTGAATATTTGATTCTCCTATAGGAGAAACCCAGCTTCCAAATGATATATAAATGACTGAGTTCGGGTTTTGTTCTTGAAGCCAACCAAGACAAGAATTGTCTTCTTCCCAAAAACTAGTCTTGGTTATAGTTATATTATTTGTTGCTTCTTGGTTATGCAATGGACCTACATGAAGGATTTGAGGGTTTTGACCATTTTTATCTTTGTTGAAATCGTTAGATATTTTGTAGGATGTTTTGTGGTTGTTGACATCATCATATTCATCTTTAAAGGAATTTGCCAAGATCCAACGGAGACTTTTTGTTCGTTCTAGAGTTCTTTGCCAGAACTTGAATCGTTTTTTCTGAGCTTTCGGAGTTCCGATCAGCCACGGTAGATCTTCTGCGGATAGGAGCGGTTGCTCCGGCAGGACTATTGGTTTTTCTAGTTGACGAGGACAGCCTGCACACCAATGTTATAACTGTAATTAATATGCAATAATATAGTAACCATAAAAATATGACGAAAGGAAAATAAAATAACAAAGGAAATCAAAAATATGTTCTCAAGTTAGTTTGGAAAATTGCTTCATCAATAATGAGACTAGTGATGGGCGTTTCTTGTTCATATGGTTGGATTCATGGTTCCCCCTAAAACTTTTACTTGACAATTTTCGTGTTGTATATATGACCTCAACTAGGATATATATATGTATGAATATCATTGAATGATCCAATAATAAAACTCTTTTTTGAGTCGTCACTTAAGACTTTGTAACTTGCACTTTCATTTCTTTATCATCGCATTCCAATGATTGCATTTTCTAGGTAATCATATAATCCGGTAATTATCAACTACAAATGTTCTGTTTAAAAACCTATGTTGACTGACTAATTAAAAACCCTATATTGAACCCAACGTGAGTGGACAACCAATTACCATGATGTATCGTTCTTTTTATAATGGATCTACCGAAATATTGATGCAATTTATATTTTATGATTTATATGCATGCATGTGTAAAAATTAGAGTATTATTTTTTGTCAACCAAGAATAAAAATAGTACATTATACAATGATATGATCCAGCATAGTTTTAGGATAAAGAATTATAGAGTTGTAGTTTATGATCCGCTAAGTTATAAATCACAATAATATTAAAAACAACTACGTGGTATGTGATTTAACCGTTGTATTTTAATAATGCAAACTACCTTTTTGGGAAACTAAGCCTGTCCGTACTAGCTCCGGTATTGCTTGGATCAAACGGTAAGCAGCGAACATCACCGGCCAGAATCCAGCGACCGGAACACCACACCGATCAGCCACTCCTATAGCCCACGAAGCCAGCAAATCAACCACAACACAAGCTACATCCAAGTCTTCTTCTAGTAAGAGCCGTTCGAGTTGAGAGGGCATGATGTTCTCCATCGAGATCTCTATCGAGAAGAAGTCCGAGGGAGGTGCGTCCGGACTATCTTGCCCGTCAGATAAGGCCAAGAACGTGATACCAAGATCCTCATTAGTAGCCGAGATCCGACGGTGGATAGACTCGGGAGTCATAACGATAGGGGCGAATCCACGGCTGAGGAACGCCGATGCAAGGTGGAGCATCGGAGTAACGTGGCCTTGCGCCGGATAGGGGATGAATATTATCTTAGGCTTTTGTGTTACTTTCATATCTTTTTTTTTTCTCTTCCTATATTTTGAGTTTTGGTAATTGTTAGTTTCCTTATGTTATGTGAATTCGGGTGATTATATAACAAGGAAGACTAAGGCTACAGATTCTTAATTTAATTGTTTTCTTCACAACATGCATGTGCTATATTGATCGACTCTAGCAATCCGTACATGCATGGAAATGTGTATACACGTCCACTATATATCCACAGACCACAAATGAATTGTTTTCATAGTTTAGCATAAAATATATGTAACTCATTAGAAAAGGTGACTCAAACATAATAATATTGTAAGGAAACTACTTCTTCAATTTTCTAGTACAGTTGTTGGGCGGCCGTTACTTGTGCAGTGGTCATTCTTCATTTTAATTAAATACAATTCTATCGAAAAGTTCCGAATATGGACCACATATCTACTATATATATATATATGCACACACACACATAGATAATGTGAACTGGTAATTTGCTGGAACAAGATAGCTGCTTTAATAAAAAAATGTTTGTATCAAATGTAAATCATGCATTAAATCCAATATAAAACATTAAGTAATGTCAATAGTCGCATGAAGTCAATGACTTAATCGTAGTCAACAATCCTCAAAAGCATAGAGAAGTAGAGGGCATGTTGATACCAGCGATCCAAAAAATATTCCAACTTGGAAGTCTGAATCAGTATATATACCATGAATTTTTAAAAAGGCTTATGTTAGGTCTACAAGCAAAACTAACTATGCATATTAAAAATTTCTTATATAATAATTTGAAAGTACAAAGTTTAACAGTTGATTAGCTGGATTAAGAGATCGAAAGCCGTTGACGAAGGAGATCCATAATAGACAAGGTCTACTACTATTGCAAACTTGCATTTCTGATTCCTGAAATCTTCAGAGATCCCACGTGGTTTGATAGGTTCTAGAGACCGGTCCATCTCGATTTATATTAACTAGGGTTAAAACCCGCGCTACGCTGCGGGTATTTTTTTGAAATTGTGTTTGAAACTAATCGCATATAGTCTAGAATCGGTACATTACATATACTTCTTTGTCTAGAATCATGGTACATTACATATACTTCTTTTACGAGAAGCAAGAGGACTAGCGGCATTATTACGAAATTCATACAAAACTGTTCTGCTGAAATAGATTTTCGGATTTTAGAAACACCACCAACAACATTTACATGCCTATTACAATCTGTCACAAGACAACAATTAAGTCGGTAGTTTTTCTTAGCTAAAGGCTAAAGCTTAATTAAGAGCTCTTCATTTTTGATCCATAACAGCAAAAAAAAAAAAAAAAAAACGATTTTGGGTCAGAATATTTTCTTCTCACAGTCACAGACATACTAATACATTTTCAAACAGAACGTCAATGTTGTTATTAAAGACAAATATAGCAATAAGCATGTACTTCTGGGCATCACTTGTAAAGCTTTCACATAGTGAGCACTTACAGAACATTTATTTACATAATTTTCTCCAACTACTGCAGCAAAAACATTATCATCTTGTTCTATTTGGACAGAGGTAGGTGCAGAGCTGAGCCATGATTTCAAAGTCCTTGAACCTTGAAAACAGGGAAACAAGTATAAATGAATAGGGAGAGACTACAATGTTCAAAGTCCTTGAACCTTGATACATTAGTTGCATTGGACAATAAAATGAATCTTCGAACCTTTATCCCTTGTTGCTTTCTTGCAGTTGCACACTGATTTAACATTCTACTGATGTATCAAGAATCAAGGTAACGGAATACATAAACTGGTAAGATGAATATCCACTATCGTATGGTGTCCATCACGACAACGCAATCAAACCAAGCTTAATCTCATTTGTACGTTGAGTTGCTAATTGACTGGTGAAGTGGAATCATGGTAAGCTAAACAAAAATATATTAAAGTCATTGCTTCGTAAGGTAGAAAATACTCTAACAAACTATATATCTTGTTAATTTAATAAATATCAATCATGAAAGAATACCCATTAATTACTGTCTGGTTGGATCATGAATGAGCTTAAGAAATTTAAAACAAATAGAAATTTGAGAAGAAAAACAAGCTTTACTTGTAAATATAAGGGTTTTAAAGTAAAACCTGAATGAAGTTATTAAACGCCTTTATACACATCCATATAACTGATTTATGTAGAACTGATACAGTTCCACCATTGAATTGTATCCTAAAACAAGATATTTCATGAATACCCTGTCAAAGCAACTCTTGTTGGTCCAAAGATCTCTATCTTCTGATTTCCCACTGTACCCTACAAACATGAAATGATACAGCATGTTTCATATTCCTAAAAACCAGAATGATAACTGCATTCAAAGTAAATGACATAAATCACAGTCAAGTTAACTTGCAGACTGTTCTTTGAAGAGAAGTCAATGGGAATTCTATGTCTCTCTATTCATTAGAATCAAATATAACTTGTAACTTGTAAGCACCAATGCAAGGAATTTAGATACTGAGTGTGCTAATAATATTGAACCTAACCCAAAATTTAGTAGTATTCTTTAAGGATGATCTAAAGGGAGATTTTGTATATGTTTTACCTTCAATTAGTACAATCCCTGCAGCTTTCTTGTTCTTAGGATCCGCATCTAAGCTTGCTTCTGCAGAGAGCGAGAAACCGCTAAATTAAACAGACTTCACAAAAAGAGAAGAGAATGAATCTGGAATTTTCTTAACATACCAACAACACTTTTTCTTAGTATCCTTTAAAATCCCCTTCTTGGATTCTTTGTATCATGTATTTTAACATATTAGATTCATTGAAATGAGAACTTGTTAACGATCTCTTACTAACAGATTGGAACAAAAGAATATTTTCTTACGGAGGCTGTTCTTTTGATGGATCCTCTTCGAATTAACGGATCAGAATTAGGACCAGTCAAACCAAAGACAACAAAAACTTCCCAGTGCATTGTATAGCAAAAATTGTGTGTCCCATAGTAACTCCAACATTGTTTCCCACAATCATAAGATCAAGAAGTACGTTTTGTCAAACTCAAAACCAGACAATGAAAATTGTTGCATCCAGCCAAAACTTAATACAAAAATATGTGGTCTGTTTTTAGGCGAGTCACTGAGATAAACACACACAAAATAAACTTTTGATTATGAATCTAATTCAAAAACAGAACACCAGAAATAAGATATATGGGAAATTTTGATCTTTAAAATCAACTGCAGAATTATGCAAAAACAAGAAAGACCTAGAGGGCAGCTTCGGTTGACTCATCATCAACTTCTCAATCTTCGTTCGCCGAGTATCAGAACACATAGCTTATATCAAAAATCTATCTCAATTTTACAGCAGCGGAACCAAAACAAAAGCCTAGAAATCTTCCTCAATCACCAAAATTAAACCTTAGATATCATAAAAGAACGACAATCGATCCGACTTTGTATTCATTGATTCCTTATTTCCTTGCAAGAACCTTAAAATGTATCTTCAATACATGAATATAGACATGGAAAAGTCCCGAAACATGATGAAATCAATTGTTACAAATAGTTACTCATCTTTTTCATAAAGTGGTGTTCTCTCTGGATTCGATTCATTGAATTTGCTAAAGAGATTGATTGATACAGGGAGAGCTATCCGACGAACGAAGAATGAAAGAAGAGGTGAGGGAAAGAGTGAGAGAAGAGAACGACGTTGGATCCGAAGAAGAGAGAAAGAGGTGTGGAGAGATAACAGAACGACGTCGGTTTTACGGATAGACACTATTACTAAGCTGAGCTGTATTATTTGAAATGTTTTGATTGGAGCTCGTTTTTAATGACGTGTCACGCTCTAAAGAACTGAAAAAGCTGATGTGTCAGGCATGGAGAGACTCTTATTGTTTTTATTGTATTGATTAATGTGCTTCGTAAATTATAATTAGAAAACCATTACTATATGTGAAAAAATGTTTGGCCGCACAAATCAAAAGGTTTTCAAATGTAGGTTAACCTTAAAGATTATCGTATAGTGCTTTGTCTCTGAATATTATAGTCATGTGAACGAATCAAAAAAGTGTTAGGTAAGCATGCCAAACCAATACGTTTTGGATGATGGTCCGATATTGGAACGCTAGGCTTCTATATTTGGGGTGTTAGTCCGTACGTACTGTATATATTTGGAAGGAAACTCTCGGATTATATCTAGATAAAAACTACATACTTCCTTTATCAAAATTAGGCTCTAAATTTCGTCCATTTAGACTGCCCTAGCTAGTAATCTTATCAATTTGATAATATTTAACATTTCCGCAAACTATTTTCCCTTTTTTTTTTTTTTTTCTGTTTTCTGATCAATGTGCATATTTTAGTTTATGAATTTAGAAATTCGACATCTCAAATTGGTGTCTCAAAATATTTGACTGTCTTCTCATTAATTATGTACTACTGATAAATCTTGTGAGAGATAATAGTTTTAGCAACATATATATATATATATATATATATATATATATATACTAATAATAAAAAAAAACTAATAAATGATCCGAATTACTCTTCAAAAAAAAGTGATACATATAGAAGGAATAGAAAACGAAAAAAAAAAGAAGATATAACTTGTTTTCTTTAATTTATTGTTTCATTTGAAATAAGCAAAGGTATATTTACTTTTAAGAAATATAGAATATTTTGTTTGAAAATCCAGCTCGAATGCAAATCAAATGAGGAAAAGTTTTTAGAAAAAGAAGACTCATGTGATATTTTGGATACAATTGGTTTAAATAGTTCGTGGAAAGCAAGAAAGTCATCGAATAATTGTTTCAACTTTTCAAACCCACCACATAGATTCTTGACGCGTCTGTTTGTTTGTTATCTCTAGAAGTTTTCTTATATCAAAAACTCAAAAAAAATTCCTTCTATTGTAATGAAATTTGGATTAGATTCCAACCACTTTAAAGAACGCAAAGAAAATTAAAAACAGTGCACCCCAAATGTCAAGAAAACGCGAATATAGAGCTCCAGTGGTCCAATCTTATATAAACTTCTTTAAATAATATTATTTTCTTTTGGGTTTTAACTGCAGATAATAACTGAAAG